TCTGTACTGACCCTGAGTCCCTGTTTTGGTAACTCTATCTGTGAATATACCATAATTAGCTACATATACAATTACAGTCACAAATATGTATGTTGTTGTTAGGTGCTGTCGAGTTGTAGACGACTCATAGCGACCCTATGAACGAAAGGCCTGAGCACTGTTTGTATATAGAGTTTCCGGAGGCAAGCCATTTCGAAAGTGGGTGCCGCTCCTGCTTCCAGGCTTATTTTAGTTGGGAAGCTCCAGCAAACACTGTCCACCATGGGTACCCATAACCACGCAAATATATATAATACATAGTAATTATATATATACTATATACAGTTTTATCTAACTACACATTGATGTTTTCTATGAAATATATCCATTTTCATAATTTTTCTGCTTTTTTTGTCTTTCTTACATGGTGAAAAAATTCAAAGTACCAGGTGGCTTAATAATTTCCTCAGGATCATAGAAGGAAGAGGCAGAGGTCTTATACTTGAAATAATAAGGAGAGCACGGCTGTTGTGTGCCATCGAGTCAGAACCAAGTCATAGCTGACCCTCCAGTGGGTTTTCTGAGGCAATAAGTCACACTGGGGGAGATTGTCCATCTTCCTCCTGAAGAGCATCTGGTGGATGTGAACCATGTGCCTTTGGGATCACAGAGCAGGTTCTTATCACTAGGCCACCAGGGCTTCCTGGGAGAGCACCGGATGCCTTGAAATGCCAGTCACTCCTGTCTCTGCAGCTACATGAGAGCCTCTTTAAGGAGATATAGAAAGTGAGTGTGTGTGTGTGTATGTGTGTGTATATACATATATATAAATATTATATAAAAATGATTACATTTATATTATCTATAATGCATACTATAGATTATATTATATAAAATTATTACATTTATATTATATAGAATACATATTATAGATTATATATTAAAATTGTTATATAAAAATATATAATTTTTTATATAAAAATATTTTTATATATTTTCCCCCCAATTTTTCTCATTTCACTTAACATTTCCCCTCTTAGCCCAAACCCTCCCACCTTTGTGGGCTTTCTATTATCCCTCGTAAAATAAGAAGATAAGACTTCTTTAAAAGAGATTTTCAGTTCAAATATTCTGGCCTCTCCAGGGTTCCATCTCCAGACCAAAGGATAAGCAAGGACAATGGTGACACCCATGCTCTATCATCCCAGCCACGGCCATCACGTAGACTCCGACCCACAGTGACCTGCTGGGTTTCCTAAGCTGAGAACCTTTATGGGAGGAGGTTGTCCACCTTTCTCCTCTGAGAAGCTATCAGATCTGAACTGCCAATCTTCCAGTTAGCACCCTGACACATCATGTGCCATGCCAATATGCATCCTTATGACTAGACAGGCTAGACCTCTTCATCCTTTAAACGTACCCTCAAAGTTTCCAGGTAAGGGATACTTTACTAAAGTCTACATTTATGAAGCAGAGGGGAAAATGAGATAGCCAGTAGCAAGGCCCTTGTGTTGTTCCTGTTGTGGTGTACTGTTGAGTTGGAACTGACCCACAGCTGACCTGTCTGGTGGGTTTTCTGAGGCAATTAATTACACAAGAGGAGACTGCCCATCCTTCTCCTGCAGAGCAGCTGGTGGATTTGAATCATGTGCCTTCAGGATTGAAGTACAGCTTCTTATCACTAGGCCACCAGAGCTCCCTAGAAGTAAGGTAGATGTTGTGTACTGTAGAGTCGGAAACAACCCATAGCTGACCCTGGGGTGGGTTTTCATAGGCAGTTAATCACACAGGAGAAGACTGCCTATCCTTCTCTTCCTAAGCACCTGGTGGCCTTAAACCACATGTCTCTGGGATTTCAGTGCAGCTTCTTGCCATTAAGCCACCAGAGCTTATAAGGTAAATACACACACACACAGCTGTTGTGTGACATTGAGTCAGGACTGACTTAAAGCTGACTCTCCAGTGGGTTTTTAGAGGCAGTAAATCACAGGAAATTGCTTATCCTTATCTTGTAGAGTAGTTGGTGGATTTGAACTGTGTGCCTTTGGGATTGCAGTGCAGCTTCTTACCATTTGGTCACTAGAGCTCCCTTAACTATATTTATAAGGGCAATCATCTTATTTATTCAAATCATACCTATGACAGATGCTTGTAAGAGGGAAAAAAATCTCTTTACAAATTGACATATAAGTTAAAAAAAAGATAAGCTATAATCTTCACTGCCATTCCAGAAAAAAAGAAGAAAAAACCTCATTTCTCACATTACTTGGCATTTCTCTCTCTCTCTCTCTCTCTCTCTCTCTCACACACACACACACACACCCTCCCAAGAAAGAAAAGAAAACGAACCAAATTGATTATTGTTAGTTAGCAGCAAAGGTTGACATTATCCACAAAAGGATGGAAGAACATTTGTTTTAAAACAGTCTTGCTACTGAAATTACAGAACCAGAAGAGTTTAGGGAAAAGGTTTGTTTTTAGCTGTTAAATGGAAGTTGGGTTTTAGTTTATTGCATCAGCGATTCAAAGCAACTTAGAAGGCATCATTAAGTTTGAATGAGTTTCTCTCTCTCCCCTGGAGTAATCCTGCTCTTCCCGAAGATGATGACTAGAGTAGATCTCAACCCAGTGCTGTGAAACACTCACAGAAGAGGAGGTCTGCGGCCCCACCTCAGCTCTGCTTAGCTCCCCGGCTGTGTGAACCGGCAGTGTGAACCACAGTCAAACACACCAGCAAAATCCAAGGGCTCAAGGACACCCAGCTCCCACTCGTGTGTTCTTGCTGAGCACTCAAGTGAGTCTATCTACCTCAGTCCATCCTCCTCTAAGCTCCTCCGCTCGAGTCACACAGGAGAAAATTGTTATTAAAAGGCTTTTTCCAGGCCACTCAACCATGTTTTATCCTTAAAACAGAGGAACACTCAGTTTTATCCTTAAAACAGAGGAAAGCTCCGTTTTAAGATGTTAAAGTAAGAAGCATACAAAATAAAGGGCACACCATATTTGGTAAGCAACAACCTCTCCCAAGGTGACACAGTGGTTTAGGTGCTGACCTACCAACCGGAAGGCCGAGGTGGGGACCCATCAGCTCCTCCATGGGAGAAAGGCATGGCAATCTGCTTCTGGCAAGATTGACAGCCTCAGAAATAGTAGTTCCACTCCACCCTATAGGGTCGCTAAGATCCAGAATCACTTAGATGGCAGTGGATTTATTAGTTTGTTTTTAAAATTAAACAACAGAGCACCTTGTATTTGCTGAGCAGAAATTCTTTCTAAGGAGCCAAAATGCACTTATTGATTCCTACACATTACCCTAATTCTACAGATAAATCTCTCTCCAAGCATAAATCCTGTTTGCTGACATCTTCCTCTAAAGGACACATGAGATCAATTTGAATGCAGCCATCTCACCTCCCTTTTAACTCTTTGGGCTACAGAGAAACAAACAAAAGTGTCAGAAAAGCATTTTAAAGAGGCTCTGCCAAGAGAGCCACTGCACAGACAGACTGCAGTTTATGCTGCTCTGAGTAAGAAATGGAAAGGCTGGGCCAAACTGTCAACACAGAACAAAGTTGGATTACAAATCCTCTGTCTTGCGCGCGCACACACACACACACACACACACACACACACACACACACACAGAGACACACGTTTGGTTGTCTTCACTCAGCTTTTCAATGGCAAGCTTCCCAATAACTTGAAAACAATTAAAGGGCAATAATTAATGTGCATTTACTTTCCTATAGACAACTTCCACAGCAAGCTGTGACAAAGCCAAGGTAACCGGGCATCTGTGAGTTACCGATTATTCCTTTCTAAAGTCTCATGGCAACATGCCTTCAAGATGAGGCCTGTCATTAAAGAATGTTTAGCAGGAACAGCCATTCATTCTTCACTTAATGGTTTAGAACACCCAGTTTTTATTTAGACCCAAAGACAACAATGCTCCCAGTGGTGCTCTCTCTCCCTGTCTGTCACACACACACACACACACACACACACACACGATAAAACAAAGCTGGGAAGAATTTATTGGGTGCAAAATGAGAAATCATATCCTTAGCTGGCTCAGGTGCTTGCTATTATAAACTATGACTAAGAGACATGAATTTCTCTATGATGCAACCCTCAAGAGAGGCAGCATTTTCTCCAGGCCTCTCTTAAACCTGCTCATTCACCAGTGACTAATGCTCTCTAGAGCTGCCCTGTGCTTCTCAAATTTCATCAGCCAGCTTTGTCCTTGATAGCTGTGCCTGGACCATAAAATCTCCCAGACCTGTGGAGGGCAGCCCTGAAAGATCAGTGCAAATCCAGCCATGGCCCGGCCAGTGCTGCCTAGGAGCCAGGTTTTGTCCTCTCTACCACATTGGACTATATCAAGAAATGAGCACATAATGGTTTTAAGAAAAGTTGTTTAACTCTTCTCTGAGTGGTAAAGTCATAGCAACTGCATGAAAAAGAAGACTCAATAATTTGGATCTCTGACTGTGACCACCATTTGTCAACTTAGAAACAAAATCAACAACATGTTAGGTGACACCACAATGAACTGGAAATTTCCATGAACTATTTTCTGCACCTTTAAAAGAAAGAAAAAGGTCAGGTTCATGATTTGCATTCAGGACTTGATTTGCATTCAGGACCTAATTTAAAAACCAAACAGGCTATAACATAATGCCTGATTTATGAATGCTTAGTCCAACATCTGATACATAATGCCAATTAATTTATAACAAAGCTTAAAACCTTGTACCATTCTCCTAGGTGAAAAGAAACACAGGATGAATTAATTATGTTCAATGATCTTCTCAGTAATGGAAGGCAAGTATTCATAAATAATATCAATATAGAATATAACAAACATTCTCAGTATGAATTCTGAATTACTGATAAAACTAAATGCACCTCCAATCTTCCAGGGTTTGCTGGCCCTCGTCGAAAAGAAAACCCTGAATGTGGATATGACATAAGATCAAACAATTTGAGAACAAATGTGCCACTACCAGAAAGGTACTCACAGTTATCAGACTGGAAATCTGGGACAAACTGTTCATCATCAGGAACTTGTGCTGCAAAAGAGATTTAAAAAAAAAAAATTTAGACCTTGAGGTTCTATTAAAAAAGCTCAATAAAAATGTTTTATATGGAAAATAGGACAGCTAAGAAACTTGCCTTCAGCTAACCAAGCCTCTTGAAGTTGACTGAGATCTTGAAACAACTCTGGAATTAAAAACAGAAGATACTAAAATGAGGAAAATTCTTCTGCTAGGGAGGAAGAGTCTGTATTTGGCTTACACCAGGGTGATCTGAAGGCGTCACGCGTGAGCTAAGAAAGCTTCGCTACCTTCAGAATCATGAGCCAGATCTGTGTCCAAAAACTTCCTCTTCCTGTCAATCACAGGCCGACCTCTACAGTCCTCTGATGGAGATTTCTGAAAGAAGTCAACACGAAGACCTGAGTGTAATAAAATGGTCCAAAAGGGGTCATACCACTAAACCAATAAGGAGAGTAGCTCATATTTGAAGTGGGAGGACAAAACAAACCAAAAGCCATTTAAACTTACCCCTGGGACCATAAAAGGGACTTGCTGATCATAAAACCCATCCATGGTGCTTTCAAATTCTCTAATACCACTCTGAAAGGTTTCAGCATTGAGCAGTTTCTGGGAGAAAAAGAGTCCTCCTGTAATATGAATTTGGAAAATTTCAACTGAGAAAGGGGTATTAAAAAAGAGGTGAGGCAATTTATACTGCTCTCTTTTAGGGCCGTGCAAAATCACACTATCTTGTCTGAAGTACTAAGCCTACTCAAGGTATAAGCTTCACAGACTAACACCAGGCTTGGTTAATGACAACAGCATCAAATGTCCAGTGAACTTAGGTCTTCTCTCTCTGTATCAGTTACAATCACATTCATTCCTCACTTACCTACATGGTTAGGATCCACAGACAAAGTTGTTATTAGAAAATTAGCACTGTACAAAAAGAGGAGAACCACACAGGATCACAAAATGGAGGGCGTTACAAAATTGCCAAATCACATCAATAAGTAGCTGCCAACCCACTGAAAACCAGGACCCAGACAAGTTGACACATAACCTTAACAACCAGTGAGGCATATCTCTACATGTGCAAAATGTTCAGATATTTTCACTGTTGTTGCTACACTGGGAAATGGGAAATAATCAGACAGTTCTCAAGGAAAGGTTTGCAGCTACTCTTCTTTCTCTCTCTCGCTTTTTTTTAAAAGTGCATCAAAGCGCATCTTTTCATTCTAAAAGAGTTAGGTTCAAGCTTGCTCTGTTTAGCAGCTCTGCCAAAGTTTGTAGTGTTTGGGTTCTTTTTCAAGAGATAATTAAATTTTTTACAGTAACAATGCCAGGAAGTAAAGAAACTAGGCTTAAGTATTCTAAATGATTGGCAATTAAGATCTGACACACATAGTGTTTCTAAAAGTATTTTGTAGGTCAATGGTAAAATACTGTATTTGATTCCAGAAATATACCAATCAGAGGCACAATTATCTTCACACATAACCCTGTTTTAAAAAACTTTTCTAAATACAGGTGTAATGTAAAAAAAGAAAAGTTCATGGCAACATATAGATATCCGATATCTCCTGCTTCTAAAAGTACACAGTATCTTTGAAAAGTAATTGGTAAATGAAACTTGATTACACTATATGGAATCTAACTGCCTCCCTACCACAGGTGTTTAAAAAAAAACACACTAAAAGCAAAAGATGCATAAAAACAAAAGATTGTTTCTTATTATGAAGTCAACATTTCCAGATATGATTTTTAAAAGTAATATCGAGATCATTTCAGAATTGCCAAGTGTTGAGATGAGAAAATGAAGTTGAAGGTCAAAAGAAGAACCGTTTTATTTTGGGATCAATGAACTGAAGTGATAGTCTTAGGAATACTATGTTCCTGAAACTTGCGTTATATTCTTCAAATAAAAATGCAGCTAAGTAAACAAAATGGGGAAAAAAAAAACCCCTAATTCCATTCAGCCCAAGCTCTTGCCAATACATAATTATTTTTGTTTAACTTGTATATAAATCTTAAGAGCGACTTTTCTCCAATGGGCAATTCCATTTAATTGTGTTTTTCACACAGAGTGTAGAACGTATCAAATTTTCCAAAGTGTGCTGGATTTTCCAAAGTGTGCTGGATTCAAAGAAACCCTTTACGAACAGGCTCCTCTCAGCACTTGGGCCTAAGTAACCAGATATTTTCAAAGTCAAAGAAAAAGGGAGAGAGAAGTGAATTTGCACTCAGTTCATAACTTCCTAGAAAAAGAGTCCTGCTTTCTTGCCCTCCAAACAGCGCTAAAATGTCCAGAATAACGCCTTTCTTTCACATGCCACCAAACCTGTATACCAATCACAGCAACCGTGGCAGTGAGGTTTCAGGAATCTGTTGTATTAAATAGTGAGTGGCCTTAAAAATTCTGTGAATATCTGCTTGTGAATTGAAGACAGGAGTGGGGGAGAAATTTTCAGTGTCATGATGAAACAAATTGCAAAATACTTGATCATGAAGAACAAAAACATCTTTAGTGAAAAAGAAAGAAACTGCCATAAGCAGGCATGGAAACTCTTTCAAAGCAGCTCTTAAGAGTTCAAGGGCTAGAAAAATTGTGTTCAAAGAGCAATTAAAAAAATTAAAAAGCCTGCAGGGTAGGCTTGAGTTCATCCAGGAGTTTAAGCCACTTCCTTTGTGTGTGTCTCTGTGCGTGTGCGCCCCCCCTCCCTTGCGATGCCCCCAGGAAAACTTGCACACGGCGCCGCTGCGATGGCGGCCCCTCCCCCGCGGCGCGCAGCGGGACTGGTTTTATGAATGGGAGAGCGAGCCGCGGCCGCCACATCAGGTAGAAGCTGTAACTGGATCCCTCGAGCAGGGCCCCATTCACAAAACAAGACACACTTCCACCCAATTCCCAGCCTTCTCCAGGCATGAAAACTCCTTCACATGCACCTCCGCCCCCACTTGCAACGTACGCCCAGTCTCCGACGCAGGCCCCTCACCCCAGCCTTTTAAGAAGCAAGCTCAATGCTTCATTCACAAAAAGGAGAAGGGGGCGGGGGGGGATGGAAATCAGCCGCAGAGAGCAGCAAGCCAACCAAAGAAACCTGCTTCATTCATAAAGTCACCCACATTCATAAAACCGAGCTGCGGCGCCGGCGCTACCACCTCCCAGCATTTAAAAAAAAAAAAAAAAAAAATCCCAAATATCTCTCCCTGAAAGCCCCTATTGCCTAGAAGGGAGCTCAGTTCTCCCTAGAGGGTCCCCTCCTCTCCGGAAATACGACCAGCATCTCACAGTGCCGCACCCCCACACCCCTCATTTTCTCCCCACCATCTCCAGGTCGAAGCTCCGATGCTCCCCAATTTCTGCAGAGTCGCCGAGCTGTTGGACGTCCAGTCGGCTAGGGGGTGGGGTGGGGGGTGGAAAGGAACGTCAAAGGGGGGGAAGGGTGTCCACTTTGCACAACCTGAAACTTGCAAGGCCTGCAGAAGTTCCTGGCCGACCCCCAATCCCGCAGGCTGCACACATGCCTATGTCACTTAACCCTTCCCGGTACTCTCGGGGGGGCATCGCCTCGCTAACAGCCTCCTTTAGCAGCTTCTCACCCCCTCCTCCCCACCGCAAGGCGTCCCTTCTCGCGAGCCTCCAAGTCCCCTCCAGGCTCTCGCATCTCCAGAGACTGTAAACCCGCAACTCTGCGCTTCCACCTCGTAGCCCCCGCACCTCGCGCCCCGCGTGCCTCCCCCGCGACGTGCGGAAAGCTCTCCCCAGGGCGCTCCGGAACCGTTAGCAGCCCTCCATCACACAGAAACAGAACTGGACAAACTGGACAGGGCCACAGGAGATGGGGGCGATCAGTCCGGGGGGGGGCGGTTTGACTCTCACTCTTCATCTGATGTGCACTCCACTTAAAGGACAGTGAACCAACCCAAGAACTCTCATCAACAGGGCCCTTCGGACCTGCTCCTGGTGTCCCCACTCCAGTGACCACTGCCCCCGCGACGCCCCCCTCACCTGAGGCGGCGGCTCTCCTCTCCTAGCAGCGGTCCCGGCGGCGCAGGCGCGCTCACGCACGCGCGCACCGGGCCTGGGTGCCTAGGCAAAAGGCTGGGCCGAACCGCTCCGGGGACACTGAACCGCTCCGCGCACCAGCGACTGGACTCTGCGCCGCAGCTGCCAAGCAGGCTGGATCGCTGGGCCGGCCCTCAGCAGCCCCCTCACTTTGCCAACTGCCATTGGTTCGCAGCCCAAGCCTAGCGTTGTTCCCATTGGCCCAGAGCCGCTCCCGCGGTTGTCCATCATCTCTTGTTTACCCTGTCTTCGGGCAAATCCAACTAAGCCGCCCCTCGAACTCCGGTCTCTATTGGACAAAGGCACATTTTCCCCCACCCAGTCAGGGGGCTTCTTTACATAATTTATGCACCGGGGGGCCATTGTCCAATCAGCAAAGGCTTGTTTATATAATGAATGTAAGGACGTTTTTCATTCATAAAAAACGCGACCTGAGGGGGAAGCTTAGCTGAGTCAGTGAAGCACTTAAAGGAGCCGAGGCCACGAAGAGCAGCCGTTATTTCCTTCCTCGCCGCTTGTCATCGAGACAAGACTGACTATGCCAGAGGCACGGCTCACCCCATTCCTGCTTAGCCCCATTCCTGCCCCCAACAATCTCATGGCCAAGTATTGGGCCTCTAGGCGCCAGACGTTCCCATCTGCAGCTCGAAGCAAAGTTATCTTTTCAGAATTCAGGCAAGAGGAATTCGTCATTCCACCCAAAAAGAAACTCGCTGACCCACCTGGGCATTCAGCCCACAGAAATACAGAAAACGGAAACAGAGCCCTCTAATCTTAGCTACCTTTAAGGGAGGCTTTAATTTCTCTGAAACAGCCTTCCAGCGGGGGAAGAATAAGCAGTATCTCCCTTTAAAATCTGAGCTCACAAACAGATTTTTAGTTCCTATTTTACTGGCAAGGCCTAAGGCTCAACCAAATCTCGTTTTCTCCCAGTGTTTTCGCCTCCTGCCTTCTCGGGCTGCTTGTTTTCCATTTAAGAGTTGAATGCAAGATGGTGCGTTTGCGAATCAAGTCCTGTGCAGCTGGGAAGGGCGAGAAGCAACAGGGCTTGCCAAACGATCGGGCACTAACTGCAATTGCTAAGATTCTTAACAGGGTGTTCTAGGAAACAAACAAGCAATCCTCTCCCACCACTCCGCCTAAGATACCCCTCCTATGGAAGCCGAGGGGCGGCGCTCTCTTCTCCCGAAGGCTGCTGGAAGCTCCTAAGGGAAATCTGTTCTGTCTTTGTGTCCTGCCGTTCACTCCAAGTGCCAGTCGTGTGGAATAAGATGCCAAATGTTGGGAGAAAGCCCCTAGAAAAAGACAACCCGACGTAGGCAGCTCTGGAGCAATCTCTTCCACACTCCCCTCGCCCTACCCCAAGAAATGCAGATTTAAAAAACAAAACCAAAAACACCACTAAAAACTCCCAACAAAACAAAAAACCCCTCCACTTTTTTCTTCTTCAGTAAAAAGTTGCATACCTTCTTTTTTACCTCCATATAATCTTAAATAAAATGAATGCTTGAGTTTTCTTTCCATAGCACAAGAAACATCTGAGTGCTCTCATGAAACTCTGAGTATGTAGGTGCAATCCGAGACCCACCAGAGCATTGAATAATACTCATCTATTGAACTTGGGAAAGACCAGGATGGGCATGAGATGAGGGATGGTGATAATCTTTGAACTTTGGCCGGAGATGTTCCATATTTGCTCTGGTGACTTACTGACAAGAAGCTGTATTGCAATCCCACAGGCAAGTGGTTCAAATCCTACCAGCTGCCCCACAGGAGGATCAGTAATCTCCCATTCGATTAGCTGCCTCTGAAAACCTGCTGGGGGGCCAGCTATGGGTCAATTCTGACTCAACGGTACACAACAACAGTGGAGCAACTGATTTTTCAGTGGGTTGAGTCACTTCATTCAGTGGGTTGAGTCATTTCCATTTGGTGACTGATGGTTTTACCCTAGTCCATCTGTGTTCTGGCTTTTTTCCTGACATTCCTGTTCATCCAGGGAGTTTCTCAGTTAGGGGCAGGGCTCCCCCAAAATCCAAAATCACCATTCTTGATTTCATCTCCCTCCACTCCAGTCAGTCCTATCCTATCCCATCTTGTTCTACTCTATGACCTACTTGTCAAGAGGAGTTTTCTTGTCCTCTTTACCTAAGTCTCTAGGGTCCCAGTCCTCTGGATGACGCATAGTACCATATGGCTCATATAAGCTATAGAACATCAATCAATATGTCTCACCATATACACTATAGAACATCAGTCACAGAGACTTCCTCCACAAGATCAGATCAGACTTCATGCCGGGAGTTTGACTTTAGTGACCTTTGCCTCAAGTCAAAGTTTTTACCACTTGGTAACAGAAGTTGACTATTTTGCATTGTCAGCGTTATTTGCTGCCCTCCAATTGGCCTCGCTCATGCTGCTCTTCCACACAACTGAGCAAACAAAAGCTTGCCTGGTCCTACACCATGCCCATATTGGGTTTTGGATCTATAAAATTTTCACTGGATGCTTTTCAGAAGTAGAGTACCAAGTCTTTCTTCCTGGTCCATCATAGTTTTGAAACCTATTCAGCGTCATAGCAAATTCGGGGAGTATGTGGTGATAAATAGTGGCTAAATTAGGGTAAAGTCCCTGGGTGGTGAAAATGATCAACATATTCATTCAGCTTCTACCCAAAAGGTTGGAATCAAAGTTTACCTAGAGAAACGTTGGCAGAATGGCTTGATAATTTGCTTGTGAAGACCCTGTGGTTAGTCTGCTTTGACCCACTTGGGGTTACCATGACAATTGTTTTAATTTTAAAACAGTTGACAACTGTTTTGCTCTTAAAGTTGAAGCAAGAAAGGGAGGGGTTAAGAGATGGCTTAGTATGTGGAAGTTGTCATAAACAAAAGATCACATGTGGGAATTTAGTACCAAACCGAATAGAGTGCTGTCAAGTGAATTCTGACTCGTAGCGCCCTCCTCATAGGGTTCCTAAGCCTGTAAATTGTCATAGAAGTATATTGCCGTGTCCTTTTGTCACAGATTTGAACCACCAATTTGAGATTAGCAGCTGAGAGCTTTAACCTCTGGGTCACCAGACCACCTTGATTTGACATCAGAATTCATTATTTAGTCAAACAGTAAACATTTATTTTTCATTAAAATGTTCATCCAGGCCTTTGCCAGGCAAAAAGTGGACAGAGTAAATACAAACAACTCTTTGCCTTAAAGGAGCCCATAGTCTTAGTGCATAAGGACTCTGTTGTTAAGTGTCATTGAGTTGCAAGCAACTCATAAGCTGATCCAGAGACAGTGAAATGCACAGGAGGAAAATGCTCATCTGTCTCCCACAGAGCAACTGGTGGATTCGAATGACATGCCTTTGGGTTGATTGAACAAGTCTTTACCACTAAGCCACCAAACTCCCTTACAAGGTTTACTGAGCTCTTAATATATGACGTACTTTGTGCTATATACAATTTTCTGCAGCATTTAATATATTTTTTTTTATAATCTGGAGAATTTGGTGCTCCATTCTATAGATGAGAAACTGCAGCAGGGCAGTGAAGTAACTTGTACCATAGTCACAGCAGTTCTAGGCTGCTAAACCTGGATAAGAAACCACAGAGAGCTCATTTAGGGGAGAACCAGCCTTGTTCATGTTGTTTACCAAGTCATCAGGAAACATTTAACGTCAGAGTTCTAGAGGACAGAAATGGTTGAGGTTTTAGGAAGACAGATTTCAGCTCAGCATAGTGTTTTGTATGTTTGGAGTGGCCAAAGAAGAAAGTACCACAGCTGAAACTGAGTCTCTTGTGATGCGAGACATTCATGCAGAAATTACTAGGGGTAGAGTAAAGGAATTATGGCTCTGTGGTGAACTCTAAGGATTGTTCAAGAAGCTTCATGTTGGACAAGGTAGACCAGTTATTACCTTGACTCGAGCGTGAAGGGTGAATATGTGGCTTGGGATATCCAGCTCTGGGTGCTTTCTAATTGTGAAATGATTATTGATATCTTCATGCTCCTTGTCTCTCCTTTTCCGTTTGGTTCCTTCTTACTGACTTACGCTCTTCCCCCACTTTCTTATCTTCTCCTGTTACTTTGCTTTCATCAGTGTTTAAAGTCCTTTGTCTAGCACATGGGGCCTTTGCTCTTTAGACCATCACTTACATTGGAGGTTTTGTTGAACATGTCCTTCATACCATTCTCTATCTCCCAAGATTGGAAAATAAAATAAAAAGAGACCAGTCCTTGGAAATATCCATCTAATATCAATCTAGTCTTTGTCCCTGTCAACAGAAAAACACCCAGTTGATCACTACAAGACAACTAGACCGTTGTTCTTCAAACCCAGTTTGTAGTATAGCTTTTTTCTTTTACAGCACTGTTCTTCGTATCTCACAGGCAAGAAGCCCATGGGTGTGAAGTAGAGTGAGATTTGTCTAAGATTACAAAATAAACTGGAAATAGAAGTAGAACTAGATGATGAATTTCCAAATACTTTAACGGAATGATAACTAAATCAACCTATATGATATTTTGGATTCAGTTAAAACTTCTCTAAGGATAAACTATATAGCTTCACTTACTTATTTCATTTTTTTACATTCCCTTTCACTTGTGAATCCATCCCTACCAACCATCAAAGAATATTTTATTCTGTTCTTTTGCTTTTATTTGTTGTTGTTGTTGTTAGGTGTCATAAAGTCAACTAGAACTCATGCACAGCAACCCTGTTAACAGCGGATGTGAACCTTGTCCTACCCTGTGCCATTCTCACTATCTCTGATCTGCTCGAACCCACTGTTACAGTCACTGTGTCAATCCATCTTGTTGAGAGTCTTCCTTTATTCCTCCTGATCCTCTGCCTTTCCCAGTATGATGTCTTTTTCCAAAGACTGGCCTTTCCTGACAGCAAACACAAAGTATGTGCAATGAAGTTTCACCACCTTTGTTTTTAAAGAGCACCCTGGTTTGCACTTCTTCCAAGATAGACTCGTTTGTTCTTTCACCAGTTTGTGGGATATTCAGCACACTTTCCAAATACCACAGTTTAACAGTATTGATTCTTCTTCTGTCATCCTTAATCATTGTCCAGTTTTCCAATTCATAGCAAGCATTTGAAAAT